CCCCCCCCCCAAAAGATTGCCGTTCTCTCCGCCTCTCAGAATCTCTATCTCCTTCGAACCAAATCAAGCTTCTCTCTCTCTCTCTAACCATAGCCCTAAATTTGGCCAAAAAGAAAACCCCATTTCTTCTCCTTAAACCCTTTTTTGTCACAGGAATCTTTCTTACTCTCTCAGACCTTCCCCTCTCTCAACCATGGCTTCCCATTCCCCTAACCTTGAGTGTCGGATGTACGAAGCCAAGTACCCGGAGGTAGACATGGCCGTCATGATCCAGGTCAAGAACATCGCCGACATGGGCGCCTACGTCTCCCTCCTTGAGTACAACAACATCGAGGGTATGATTCTCTTTTCCGAGCTCTCTCGCCGTCGTATTCGTAGTGTTAGCAGTTTAATTAAGGTTGGACGAATCGAGCCTGTCATGGTCCTCAGGGTCGACAAGGAGAAGGGCTATATTGATTTGAGTAAGAGAAGGGTGTCTGAGGAGGATATTCAGGCCTGCGAGGAGAGGTATAACAAGAGCAAGCTTGTTCACTCTATAATGCGCCATGTTGCTGAGACTATGAACCTTGATTTGGAGGTATCCTTTTTTTTTTCTCTGGCTTTTTATGGCTACTTTGAGAATTATTGATGGCTGTTTTAGGTGTTTCTTGAAGTTACAGCTTCTTGCTTGGTGTTTGAAGTTGTTTTCGTGCATTTTCTTGGTCTGAGTTACCGGGTATTTTACGTACATCCACTCTGAATTGGCATTGTGATTATTGGGAAAGGGAAAGAGGTGAAGTACTTTTAGGGTGTGGTTCAATTCTATGCTGGCCCCTTTGATTTAAAAATTCTATGAGCGTCTTGGCAACAAACAGATATTGGAGGTTCATATTGTTGATTAGTTGGGTGTGTGTACATTACATAGAAAAATTCCTAAATTTACATAGGAGTTTCCCCATTTCTTTGTTGCAAATTTGTCTACTTAGTTGGATTCAATTCTCTTGGGTTAACGATATTGAGAATGTTTGGATCAAAGGGGCAGGTATTTACCAGTTGGTGAATGGCTTAAAACTAGCCAAGGTTGTGTTACTCAATATCGTTGCGATGACCTTAAGCACTTGGATGCGGTGATAGGTTATGGGTGGGCATGCACATTCCTTGTGCAAAGGGGCACGCCTTGATCATTACGGCATGGCAATTGCCATTTTCTTGGGTTTAAACTAGGACACTCATGGCTAGTTCCCTTGATATAAATTAAGTTTTGTCACTTCCTGCAAAAAGAGGGAGCTTGTAGATTATTTATCAAACTACCATTGGATAGACTCTATCTGATCCAAGTCCCTATATTCTTTGTTCTCTTCCAACATCAATCGAATGCTTTGAACAAAAATGACCCTCTCTGAGCAATCAGCTGTTGTCCTTTCTCTTTGATCCTTTTGACTACGTTTTGAAGTGTCTTAAGGTGGTCTCAAGGATTTTTTGAATTTTTTTTTTTTATTTTGAAAATTGGAGGCATATGTTTTGAATCTGTATGTAGTGTAAGCATTAATGTATATAAAAGAGCCTAATAACCAGAAGTCTTGTTGTATTTATCTTACATCCATATTTGGACTGATATATTTTTAAGAATAGTCACTAAGTTGATATTATAATTCTGTGAGGCACATGGAACAAAGACTTTTCTCGAGTGCATTTTCATGAAGGTGTTAGCTTCTATGAATCAAAAAATGTGTAAGCCTTAAGACTTTTTTTTTTTTCAACACTTGAAACACAAAAACTGTTAAAATAATATGTTTTTAAGTTTCTCTCTTGCATTTGTTTTTCCAATTCTCTCTTTGAATGGATAGAATAAGTTTGAGAAACTTTACATTTTGGGTTATTAGTATTAATATTTCTTGATTTATGTCTTAATTCTCTTTGCTAGTCATTGATCTATATTAACTTCTAATTTTCTAAACCAATGCTCTTAGATTTGCTTGAGTGATGCTTATGTGTTTCTCTTGTCTCCAAGCTATCGAGTGGTTCAACGTTTTGGACTGCACTTTGGAAGCATACTTTATTGTCTCACTTATATATATTAATGTATTGCATCTTTTTGAGCTACATTAAGAAAGCTTAAGAGATTTGTGGAACAGTGAAAGGAAGTGACTTTTTAGGTATGGCCTTTAATTGCTAAGATTGCTTTGTTCTAGAAAGGACTACTCATTTGTTTTTTCTTGTTGAGTTTGACTTGTGCTTGTTCCTTCGAGATTCCACCCCCCAGTAAAAAGAAAAGAAAAGGGAGGAAAACACTTTTTAATTCCAAGAAATGGAACCTTAATATTCTGTTATATTAATTTGAAATGGAAAAAGGTTGTCGAAAATACTAAATTATAATTCTAAGGTGATTTTCTCTTCTTGTAGGACTTGTATGTCCATGTTGGCTGGCCTTTGTACCGGAAATATGGTCACGGTTTTGAGGTATGGTTTCTGTTTTGTATCCTAAAAGAATAAGCTTTCTTCTGGAAAAATTTAGGGACTTCAACCTTCTTTTGTGCAGGCATTCAAGATCGTTGTAACTGACCCTGACTCGGTGTTGAATTCTCTTACCCGTGAAGTCAAGGAAGCTGGTCCCGACGGACAGGAGGTAGCCTTGGTCCAAGCAAATTGGGATGTTGTTCTCTCAAATTTTGATTGAACTCTGATTTTATACTGTATTTTAGGTAACTAAGGTAGTTCCCGCAATGTCTGAGGATGTAAAAGATGCACTAATAAAGAATATTAGAAGAAGAATGACTCCCCAACCCTTGAAGGTTCGGGCTGATATTGAAATGAAGTGCTTCCAGTTTGATGGCGTTCTTCACATTAAGGTGTTTGTCTGATTCCTTTCACCTTTTCTGATTTTTATTTGTTTTTCTTGAGCTGAAGTTGTTTCATAAGAAATGTAAAACACGAACCTGTCTGACGTTGCAGGAAGCAATGCGGAAAGCTGAAGCTGTTGGAAACGATGATTGTCCTGTTAAAATTAAATTGGTTGCTCCTCCACTCTACGTCCTTACTACCCAGACACTTGACAAGGTTAGTGCAGTCCTCCCCCTTTAGGTGATGGATTATTGTTTGTTATGCATGGATATTTTGCAATTTAGTGAATTCTAATTTCTTTCATCTCCAATCATCTTCAGTTTTTGTATCGTGTTACCTTTCTACCTTTTAATTTCTTACATCTCCAATCAAAAGGGTCTCCTCCAGGTTTCTTCTTTCGCGATGAACTTGGTAATGAGAGAAACATCGAACGAGAAAAAAAAAAGTGACTTGATTGGTCTTGAATCTGTAAGAGTGAAAGCATTTTTAGGTAAGAAACAGATATCTGGAATCTGTAAGAGTGAAAGCATTATTAGTCCAAAAGTGTGCTGTGAAGAGCAACAAAAGTCCCACAGACCCCGTTTACCGACACTAAATAGAATCTCCTTGTGCTTCAAGGCCTCGTAGTAACAGCAAAGAGTGTGCTAAATTATTAGCAGGAGTAGACGGGTGAAAATAAAGTTCTAGGAACACTGGTTTTATGTTTTTCAAATGGCATCTTTGTTTATGGTTTTCCATTTGTTATTTCTTGTGGAATAGGAGCAAGGAATCACTGTTCTTGAGAAGGCGATCATTGCTTGCACCGAGGCAATCGAGCATCACAAGGGAAAGCTTGTGGTGAAGGAGGCACCTAGAGCGGTGAGTCTCAGCACATGTGCACATTTTAATATCAACAATTACATCCTTTCTATCAGCTCACATCCAATCTTGTCCAATTATTACCATAGGTGAGTGAAAGAGATGACAAATTGCTTGCCGAGCACATGGCGAAGCTACGACAAGACAACGAAGAAATCAGCGGAGACGAGGATAGCGAGGAAGAGGAAGACACGGGGATGGGAGAAATTGATGTCGAGAATGCAGGTTCCGGGATCACCGAGTAAAGATTGTTGCAGGAATATAGAGAAGAAGAAGGTTTTCATAGTAAATCTTTCCCCCTTGAGAGTTGAAGATCTGAAGGTCTGTAGTTGCGAGAGCTATTCTTGACACAATTTTGGGAAACCCCTTTTTTGAGGTAAGACGCCTATTCTTGAGTTGTTACAATTGGGAAAATTGGGAAGCCATTAGTTTCAGATATTATTTGATAATACCATTTTTAGTATAGTTTTTTTTTTCTTCTAAAATTTAAAAAATAAAATAAAATAAAATAAGAGATTATGTGATTATAATATAGGAAAGAAATACAAAATAAAATAATTATATAATTTTTTTTTAAAAAATACATCCTTAAATATTTAAATTAAAATTTATGTGTTCTCTCTTCTCGCAGCTGCAACTCCATTATTTGAACTTTTTTTCCTACATTTAATATCATTTTCCCGATAATTAAATATAGAATATGAAGATGAATGAACAAGAATCAAGAATTCATAGCTTATATTATTAATGTAATATGAAACTGGAATGAAATTTATATCTATAAATCATATACAACCTAACATTTTTTCTTAAAAAATTTGGTGATTCTAATAAAAATTTAAGTTTAGGAATTTATTCTATAATTTTATAGTTATTCTATCATTTTAGTTTGTAATATTAATTTAAAATTTATACCAAGTTAGTGAACTCTTAATTTAAATTTATTCTATAATTTAAATAATGAAAGTTTCATCAAAATTAAAATTTTTATTTTTATTAGGTTATAAACATATTTGATTCTTAATTTATATAAGAAATTTTTATTAATTCTTAACAAACTACAAAATTTAAAATAGAATTTATTTTAATTTATACAACCCCAAATTTGTCGATATTCATAACAAAATTTATGAAATGTGAGCTAATAATTGATATAAATTATAAATCTCAATTTTAATATTTATTTAACTTAAATAAATAAATATAAGAACGGGGTCCACACCAATCGTTACTGACGTGGTGTGTTTTAATTCGTCCAGATAAAAAGGACTCCAGACAAAGCCGGTACGAGCATTGTAGCGTATGTTTTCTCCTTCCCATTGTCCACTTTATAACGACATTTCGAATCCGTTAAATAGTTGCCGCGTCCTTCTCTGTATCGCACTTTTCCCTCTCTCTGATCCAATTCATTCTCTCTCTCTCTCTCGCTCTCGATTGATCATCAATGGCGATTTCACTCCAAAGCTTCTTCCAAGAACGAAGAACACCTTTCCTCTTCACTCTCTCACTCCTCCTCATTTGCTTTCTGATTCTCTTCTTCACCGATTCCCTTTCCCTCAACCCTCTCGTTCGAAAGTACTCCTCTCTTCGATCCCACTTTGGAACACCCTCTTCTTCTTCTTCTTCTCCTCCTCCTCCTCCTCCTTCTTCTTCTTTTCGGCCTTCTTCTCGGCTTGATTTGAAACCATCTTCTGCGGATTCTGTTCTTTCTCACGATCTTGATTTTTCTAATTCTTCGGCGGCGAATTTCAGCTGGAAGCTCTGTGGTGGGTCTGTGGCCGTCGATTTCATTCCCTGTTTGGATAACTCCAAGGCGATTAAGGCTTTGAAGTCGAGGAGGCACATGGAGCACCGTGAACGCCATTGCCCTAGTCCCAGTCCCCGCTGTTTGATTCCGCTTCCCATTGGTTATAAGGTCCCGGTTCCCTGGCCCAAGAGTAGGGACATGGTGAGCTTGATTCTTTGCCAAGGTTTGTTGATGATCTTGTTTTTTTTTTAGAGGATTTTGTTGGTTTGTTTTCTCTGATTTTTTCTTTCTATTTTCTTTTGAAATTGGGAGTTTCTGTTCTGTTCTGTTCTGTTCTGTTCTGTTCATTTACCTTCAGGGCTATACTTTACCGTTTATCCCTTTCTTTGTCGACTGAACTAGGATTTTCTTGGCGAGTATTTTGTTCGTCTTATTGGAAAATGGTGATGATCATTGATTATATCGGAAATCCTATTGTTGTAGATTTGGTACGATAATGTTCCTCATCCGAAGCTTGTTGAATACAAGAAAGACCAACATTGGGTTGTTAAGTTGGACGAGTATCTTAACTTTCCTGGAGGTGGTACACAGTTCAAGGATGGAGTTGATCACTATATTTACTTTATTCAGAAGGTGTTTTTTCCCCCTTATCTCTTCGTTGAGTTCTTGTATATATGCACTTGTACCATAATCTATCTAGTTTGTACATCTTCCTCTGCCACTACAATTTTGTATAAATCTCTCTTTGATTTTATATCACTTGTTTGAATTTGGAACAGGCTTTACCGGATATCAAATGGGGGGAAAACATCAGAGTTATTCTAGATGTTGGTTGTGGTGTTGCTAGCTTTGGTGGGTATTTACTGCAGAAAAATGTTCTTACTATGTCATTTGCCCCGAAGGATGAACATGAAGCACAGATACAATTTGCTTTAGAACGAGGAATTCCCGCAACTCTCTCAGTCATAGGAACTCAGAGGCTCACATTTCCTGACAATGCGTATGATTTGATACATTGTGCACGTTGCAGGGTCCATTGGGATGCAGATGGTAATATTTGATAAATAGAGTTTTATTTGTCAATAGTAATCGCTGGTTTCTTGTGGATAGCTTGACCCTCTATGGCAATAGGTGGAAAACCATTATTGGAGCTCAACAGGATTCTCAGACCTGGAGGATATTTCATATGGTCTGCTACACCAGTTTATCGTGACGACGAAAGAGACAAGAATGTCTGGGAAGGTTCATGCTTTGTTACAATATCTATATTTTAATTTCACGTAACTTGTGGACAACATTGCTAAAATGGTTTGAATTGATAACTTACAGCAATGGTATTGCTAACGAAGTCAATGTGCTGGAAGGTAGTGCAAAAGACTATGGATTCATCTGGGGTTGGCCTTGTAATATATCAGAAGCCCACCTTGACATCTTGCTATGAAGAACGTAGCAAAAATGACCCTCCTATATGTCATGAAAAGAACAAGAGAAATAGTTCTTGGTATTTCTTTGAAATTCTTCTCACAAATGTCTTTACCCTCCTCGATATCTTAATGCTCAAGTCGTTGAATTCGTGTTTATTTTGTTGGGATAGGTATGTGCCCCTGACTAGATGTATTTCTCAGCTTCCAGTTGATAGCAAAGGCAACTATTATAATTGGCCTTCGCCATGGCCGGAGAGACTAACTAGCAAGCCTCCTAGCTTGTCGGTTGAACCAAATTCTGAGGAGAAATTCTTGGAGGATACCAAACATTGGTCTACTGTTGTGTCAGATGTTTATCGAGATAACATCGGCTTAAACTGGTCGAGCATCCGAAATGTGCTGGATATGAATGCTGGCTATGGAGGGTAAAACACATACAACTAATGAATATAAGCATTGAGTTCCTTTATTTGATCTGCAGTTTGGTTAACTTGCCGTTTCAAGTCTTCTTTATAGTATGATCCTGATTTTGCTTCTTTGTTTTCAAGATATGATAATGTGGGAATAAAACCTTGTTCAATTAGAAAAGATGGAACAATCAGGCTGTTTAACTCAGTCCAAATCTCATCATTTCAGTTTGTTCTTCTTGTGTTCTCTTTATTAAGTTCAATTACATACTTAACTTTTAACTGCCTCATTTCAGGTTTGCAGCTGCATTAATTGATCTACCACTTTGGGTAATGAATGTTGTCCCCATAGACGTACCTGATACTCTGTCCATTGTTTTCGACCGAGGATTGATCGGTCTCTACCACGACTGGTGCGAGTCCTTTAACACCTACCCTCGAACCTACGATCTGCTACATTCCAGCTTTCTCTTCACATCTCTTAAGAGAAGGTAAGACATCATCTAATGCAACCTTAAACGGAAATGTTATAGCATATTTGATAATGGTATATATATGTTCTTAATACTCCCCTTTGTGGATTGGGAATCGAACGAGAAGGAAATGACTTTGTAGAGGTTCGAAGTTAATATTTCTTGCTTTAGTATCGTGTTAAATGACATTATATTCAAAAGCTTAAGCTAATAGGTTAGGATGAACATGATCTTGTGTTTCTAAGTAACGACGATTTGTATTATGTTTCTAGATGCGACTTTGTAGATGTTAGAACTTAGAATTTCTTGCTTTAGTATCATGTTAAATGACATTATATTCAAAAGCTTAATCTAATAGGTTAGGATGAACATGATTGTGTGTTTCTAAGTTACGACGACTTGTATTATGTTTGTAGATGCGACGTGGTAGCTATGGTCGTGGAGATGGATAGAGTGTTGAGGCCAGGTGGATATGTTTTGATTCAGGACAGCATGGAGGTAATAAAGGAGCTTGGTCCCATCTTTCATTCACTTCACTTGTCCGTTTCTGTTTATGATGATCAGTTTCTTGTTGGAAAGAAGGGATTTTGGCGGCCAACAGCCCCTCATACCAAGTGAGAAACCGTTGGGGTTTGATAAATTTAATTCTTTGGCATAGTTTTGTTTTGTCTTTGTTTACATACTTCACTCCTTTTCAATTGTAAAAGAAAATACATCGAACAAACATGAGAGATATAAATGTATCTGAGGTTCACATATCTTGGAGTTGGAGTATGTAACAACGTAGCCGGGCGTTAGTTGGAATGATGAAGCCATCACTCAAAAGGGTATCTCTATTTTTCTAAGAGGCTCTTTGTTCGGATCCGTCTCGCTCAAAATGAATAAAAAAAGTTGAATGGTTATGTTATTCGAGTTGAATTCTGTATGATGAGAGAAAATATTTGAATACAGTATTACATCCAACGTCTTCTTAAAATGATTCAGATTTTTTAATCTACGTCTTACCTGTCTAACCTCAGATTTTTTAATCTACGTCTTACCTGTCTAACCTCATTTAATAATTTTTCATGCATCAGTGATCTACTCGAATGAATATTTCGTATTTAATTTTTTTTATGCATATTTAATAGATGATTACTAGATTAAACCTCAAACTATGTAAACCAGAGAAAAAATATATGAATAAAATATAAAGTTAAGTTTTTACCATTTTACTTATTTTAAGTTTCAAAAAAAAAAAAATGATTATCCTTGGATGATTTTATTTTTTAAAATCGATCTTTAGAAATGGATCATATAACTTAAATGTTAAAATTTTGGGGCAATTATTTTATATATTGTTCGATTATTATAAATTCCGGGTTAAGAAAAAAACAACGGAAGCATCTAGTAGTGGTAATCTCACCCATAGTTTCACGTAAACTTCGTTTTTCAAGTTTTCAAACTACCATTGTTTTAATTTCCGTAGCACGGAAATTCTCATGCCTTCCAGGTAAGTTTATCGCCCTTGGCGTCGTCCGTGCATGTAGCTTAGTAGCCATGGCGGGTACATTTAGTTTGTTATTGGCCGAAGCCAAAATAAACTACACATTGCTTCTTCTTCTTCTTCTTCTTCTTCTTCTTCTTCTTCCTCCGATCTTCTGGTTGATGAGTTTCGAGTTCCAACAGCAGCTAAGAGGAGTTGATCGACAATGTTTTACTCGCATCAGCTTCTGGCTCGCAAGGCTCCTCTCGGCCAAATTTGGTAAAACGACTTTCAATGCGTTTCTGAATCTGAATAAGTTTATCAATGGCTGTTTGTTTGTGAAACTATCCATTTCGTTCTTTGTTTCTTGTTATTTAAGTTACTTTGGAGGAGATGTGGATGTTGTTGATGTATCCTGCTTTCACAGTCCGCTTCCCGAATTGATGATCAGACGAATTGTATTTTGTGTGTTTTGATGTTTCTGTCATTTCGTGTATCTAACTTACTAAGGATGGCTGCAACAATGCACGCAAAGATCAATAGGAGAAAGCTCGATAAGCTGAACATAATCAAAATTTGGTAATGGAAAAACAAATGGAGTTAAGTTTCTTGAATTTGTTAGTGTTTGTCTAGTTTTGATTTTTGTGCGGTATTTTGCAGTGAGGAGATTTTGAATCCTTCGGTTCCAATGGCTCTCAGACTCTCAGGGATTCTCATGGGTAATCGTCCTTCAATATCTTTGATTTTTTCAGAATTTTAACGCTCTGTTTTTCATCTTAGTAACAGAGTAGCATCTCTCTGCTTCATTTTTCTCAGGCGGTGTTGTCATTGTCTATGAACGAAAAGTTAAAATTCTTTACGGTAATCTTATAATCACTTTTTTATGAAGGAATATATTGATTTAAGGTTTAAATGCTGTCTTTGAAGGACTGCGTACCTTTTTTCTTTCTTAATCACAGAGGATGTAACTCGGCTTCTGGTAATTACTCAAGTCTGAGTTCTATCAATAGAGTAACGTTTGCATTTTCGTTTTCTTATTTTAATGAATACGTTGATTGGCTTCGTTTCCGAAATGGATTTTCTCAGGTTGAGATAAACGAAGCGTGGAAGGTGAAAGCAGCTCCAGAGCCCACCGTCATTCCCAAAGGAAAATCTGTGGCCAAGTACGTCACTACTCTCCTTCTCCTAATAGAAATGCATAATCATCTAATTATTCATCTACTTCGAAAAAGAATGCGTATGCACTAGAGAATATGAATAACTTGAATAATGGACCGGGTTGCTTCCGGGTCCAAAATAAGATGGATCCCGTGCGGATTAAGATGGTGATTTGGCTCGGAATTTGTAATGTTATGATTTTCACGTGTCCATAGTCCCAAAGTATGATGAGGTAGGGGCGGGTTAAGGAGGTGATTTCGACCCTGAACTTGTCTGTTTATGATTTTCATGCGTCCACAGTCCAAAATAATCAAGTCGTTTTTGTAATTTTTCTTATTATGTGCTTCACACGTTCACTGCCCAAAATGTAAGATGAGATGGGGAAGGCTAAGAATGTGATTTTGACTCTGAATTTATTTGGTGATGATTTTCATATGTCCACAGTTAAAAGTAAGGCGATTTGGCTCTGGATTTGTTTGATTATATTATCATGTCCATATATATGGCCGGTTAAGAAGGCGATATTGATTCTGAATTATTTGGTTACGATTTATGTATGTCCACATATACTCAGGAAGGAGGCTGTTACTCGGCCTAAAAAGGATCCGAAAGACGTGGGAGATCATGAGGCACAGTCCATTAACTTCTCCTACAACACCTCTCCAATGAAGTTCCAACAAACTGCATTTTTTACTATGGTAAGCCGTAGAAGAGAATGCCCTTTTCTTGGGTTCAACAGTTAATAGAAATTCAGTAGTTCCCATCTAGATATATCTTCCATGCCAGTCCCGAGCACTGTAAAAATAGACTTGGGAGGGTTGAATTCCAAAAAGTTATCGAAGATTGATTTATCAGATAGACGCGTATAGAATAACACTGGATACGGGTTTCGAAGGGAACTGGTTTATTTTGGTAATATCATACTATTTTTATGTTCTTTGAAACAAATTATGGAGGTTTGGTAGCTTTTCTTTTGGGGGTTAACTTTTTGTTTTTCAATTACCAATTATTGATTGGTAGGTCTTTCTACGTTTGCAGCGGCTTGACAGTGTGGATGAACCATATATCCACGAGAAAACAGTGGAAGACGATGCGTCACATAACTTCCATCAAAGTCTTAATCTGTCCCTTGAACTCTCTCACTTAATTTCTGCATAACTATTAAATTCCTGATGCGTTCTAACTACTAATGATCTTGGTTGTTCTCTTGCTCAGCTGATGCTGAAAATATAACCTTACTCGAGCGTTTTGATATGTATCAATCAAATACAAATGCATTCAATCGGTTTGAAAGGTGAATTCTTAACTTGCATGGACAGAACTTTGCGTTATCTATACAATTTCTTTTCCACCACCTCTTTCTCAAAAAATTGAGCCGGCAAGCTTTTGTGTTTATTGGAGCTCGAAAACACACACGCTATTCCCAAATCGTGATGCTTCACTTGCACCGTAGTGATAATTCAAATCGCTATTTGAAATCCCTCTGAGCTGAAATGGTAAAAAAGGAAGCAACAACATCAATTTTTTGTGCTGGAATTGTAGATTTGATATTGAAGATGATGAGGATACACAACCGAATTTTGCTTCTGTAGATCAAACAAAAATTCCAGATACTTTTGGAACTTCCCCTCCTCAAGACAAGTATCAAGAAGGTAAGATACATTATCATGATTTGGTACTTAATACGTCATCAACTGCATCATATATTTAATACCATATTCATAATTCATAAATTATAAGAAAATGCAGTTTTTAAGTTCAATCTTCTCGTCCCCATCATTTATTGGTTCTCTATTTTTGAGTTGGTGCATTCCAAAGTATTTATTGACTTTGGGAGGAGTGAAATAAATATGACCATGTGAACGCTTCATCTACTTGGTTTTTTTTTTTTTCACTACATCCTAGAAATGAGCAGCTGTTCCAAACTCATGGCTTGAGGGAAAGAAAATTATAAATAGCCTCCACTCTTCTCTTTTTTTCCATTAAGTATCTTCTTCTTCTTCCTTCTAATATCTTCTGCATATCAGAGTCTACTATATTTTCACTTGATGAAAAATAGATCAGACTGGTCGATGGAAACTTGGTGCTTAGTAGCCTCTTGCTAAAACAGACTACTCCATTGATTTTTTTTTTCTCAGAAGGGAGAAGAAGATTATAGGAGGGACACTATCACTATCTCTATTGGTATGAGATCTTTTGAAAAACTAAAAACAAAGTCTTAAGAACTTACCCTCGAAGTAGATGATAAATATCATTGTTCCTTCAATAATATTAAAGTCATGCTCTTAACTTATACTATTGTGGAGTCTCGAACTCTGTTGGGAAACCGAAAGTCAAATCATGAGAACTTGTATTCGAATTGGACAATGTCATACCACTGCGAGGCTCATTGTTCCTAACAACTCACAACTCGATTTAACTTGCTATTGCATTCCAAAAATAACTTTCATCTCTGAATGTCAACTTTAGAAGAAATTTCATGTTTTTATGCATTTTTTTAGAAGAAATTTCATGTTTTTATGCATTTTCTTACCTCTAGGGCCTCCTGATGCTGAAGTCCAGGACCAACATCTTGAACGCGATGTCATTCAGCAAGCCTACGTATCCAAGGAGCACAGACAGGTATTCTTCGAGTATGATCAATAAAGAATAGATTAATTACACAGCTCAGGCTTAACTAGACAATGAAGTGCATCCATTTAACACCAGGAGGAGCAGGTGGCAATAAAAAGGAAAACAAAAAGAACAGCAGCCTTTCTGATGGACTATGAAAAGACCATCATTCCTGGACACATATACCAATCTTGGCTGAAAGATGTTTCGGATCTTATCTCTAGAAGGGGAAAAAAGAGAAAGGTTCTTAGTCTCCAACATGCAGTTCTCAATTTACCTAATTTTCTATGTTACTTGATTTAGATAATGAGTACACTCCTGAACACTAATCATTTATTATCAAGCAAATTTTGCGTACTTATTTTGATCCGACAGAGTGATGTCTGTGATAAGATTGATTTTCCACAAAATAACAAAAACTACAAACAAGTTAATAATTAAGAGAGCTTCATGTTCTTTTGTAACAGCGGACAGGTGCAATGTCCTCTATGAAGATAGCCACTCTCATGGATCTTCCTCCTGTGGTGTTATGTGGTCGCTTATTCACAGATGGAAGTAGAGAAGTCTATTATCCAGCTCCTCTGCTAGAGTTATGGATGAAAAGTATCCGAGACCCCCCTGACTCACCTTCTGGTTAGTATTATCCGTAACTCGACATTTCCATTAAAAGTATAGATTTGGGGAAAAGGAAATTTGATCATTTATTTTCTGCAGTGAGGAACTCTGCACCCTTACCTCCTGAACCATCACTGTCTTCACTGCCAGAGAGAGTAAACTTTCCAGATCACATGGATTTTGTAAGCCTACACCAACTTCAACAGATTTATTTCAAGTGTTGGACGAATACAATCTTCTCTCTTACAAATTCTTGATGCAAATTATGAAGGCTTATGAAAATCGTTACAGTGGAGTTGGTTCCCAGTCATTTGGAGCTTCCATAGAGAAGCTAAGGACCAAACCAGTCAACGATGATATTCACGCCGAGATCCTTCTGGAAGAACTCAGACCGGACTTCAGGAACAATCTTATGGGGATGGCTGAAAGAAATCAAGTGGTTACACCTGGAAATTCCGGTCCGTTTTTCTCATCTAAGCTAAAACAGTTGACACTTCATTCCATCTCCATGGTAAGGACTCTGAGATGGCTATAACTTGTTCAAATAATTGTTGTCCATCTGAATAAGTAGGAATTGGAGTGAGGTCAGTTTCCAGCTCAGCATCTGAACATGGTGTGTTTGTATCTAATCCAGAGACCAATTCTGTACGGTTAGTAGTATAAATGCTTACAGATATTCCCTTTTGAACCCAAAACAAGAATTTGTTTTGTGTTTAGGATAATAACACTACGACTGAAGTATTAACGATCAATAGATCCAACAAGAAAAGGCCTTATTCTTCATCAAGACAAAGTAGCGGAGGCCTCGAACCTGTAGCTGAGGAGAATCCATGGCATCACTCTGATCCAAACTTCAAGTTAGCGAGGTTGTCTGAAAATGATCCAGGTAAGTAAAACGCTAATCTATCTATAGCTTACACAATCACCGTGGGCTCATTTCTCTATCTAGTTGAAATCTACACACTAGAATTTAAAAGTTGCTTTCACAGATTTATTGGTAGAAACTGCACCGACACAAACTCAAGTTACTCAACCCGCCATCAAGCATCCTCCTGCTGACAAGATAACTAATTCCATTCGCATGTAAATCCTCAATTTATTTTATTTTATTTTATTTTTATTATTATTATTATTATTTATTTTTTTTTTTTTTGCTCTGAAGTGTGTGTTTTAGTTGTTTCATCATTGATTGCTAAATGATAACAAATCCTTCTTTCCTTCTTGCCCATTTGAATGCTAAGGCAAATGAAGGCACATTTTGATACGCCAGGAGCCCCGCCAGCAGAATCTTTAAACAACTTGGCCGCTGGAATGAACCCCAAAGCAGCTGCTATGCTCTTCTACCAGACTTGCGGTATCTTTTCATTCACAAAATTCCTGCAATTTTGCTTTGTGCTGCTCTTGTTATTTGTATAAGGTCCCAAGTCTTTTTTTCTCGTTGGGTTAAATCATCAATTTGGTCTCACGGATTCCGTTAAATCTCTTAAAATGTCTCTACGGTTGCCAAATTTTAACAAATTTCTGAACAGTTTTTGTAAGTTCAATATATAATTAGAAATATTAATTTTTTAAGAGCATGAACTAAAAAAAATGATAATTTAATACTATTTACCTGGTAAAACAATAAGAAATTAATCTAAAATGACTTTATCCTTTTATCCTTATGCAGTTCTGGCTTCAAGTGATTACTTAAAAGTCAATCAACAAGTTCCTTTTGGGGACATTTTCATCTCCAAAGGAACAAAAATGTAACATGAATGAGGTCAGTATCTTAAACTTACTAGAACCACCATCACACACACGTTCTGACTAGAATAGCATCTTGTTTTCCATCTTTAGAACAAAGAATGGTTGGATTTATAGCCTTAAATTTGAGAATTGCATAAGTAGATTATCCTTTGCTAGCTAGTGCAATGAAATCTACTGTCATTGCTTTAATTTCTTTCTTACTGCCAAGTCTAGGATGCATCTAGATTAGATTAATGTCACAGTAATTCTATTTTACATTACTCCGTTCTACTTAGATTATAAGGTATGGTATTTTCGGAGTTCTATGCATCTCAATCCTGATCGGTAACAGATAAGTTTTTCTAGATTTTTAGTTTTAAAAGTTCAAGTTGTCAATTAATTAATTTAATTTGTTACTTCATATAAACTCTTCATATACAGAGTTTTATTCTAACATTTCACACTAAAAACAGTGGGAACCATGGATTACTAATAAACTCCTCATATACAAAAAGTTTTATTCAACATTGAAACACTAAAAACAACGGGAACCACTCCTCATATACAGAAAGTTTTATTTAACATTGAAACACTAAAAACAACGGGAACCACTAATTAGTATTTAAATCTTACATTATTATAAGAAAAAAATACTAAAAACAGTGGGAACCACTGATTAGCATTTAAAACTTACATTGATATAAAAAATTAAATATTTGATTCCTCATTTAGAAAATAAGAAAATAAGAAAGTATGAGTTAAATGTTCAAATTTTCATCTCATTAATATAATTTTATATTATTATTTAAGAAAGAAAAAAAAATAATAGAAATAAATATAATATTCATAATTAAATATTTTTAAAAAACCAGAGTTTATTGCTTGATACAAATGGATTGATCCAAGTTACTTGTGCATAATTATGCAGTAAATTGAAGAAATTTTGGTTGGGATACCTTTCTAACTAATTAACAACTCGTTTTATTCTCTACTTGTATTAATTTTTTACTTTTATTTTTGATAATAACGACATATTATGAGGTGCATGTGCATGCATACTTCACCATAAATGCTAATTTCTTCGAGTTCTAATTACTTTCCTTATAAGCTAATTCCTAAGAATTCAAATCTGTTGAACAGATAAGTCCCTTCTGCAATTTAGTTCCAACTTATGCAAAAGGGAAATATTCGTTCCTCCCAATTCACCTCTCTCTGTCTTCCTATTTATCTTTTGCCCAATCCTTTTTAACATAAATTTGACTTTTACATTCATGAAGTTTTTTTTTTTCTTTTCTTTTCTTGAGTGCTTTTTTTAAAATTAAAAAAAAAAAAAACTTACTGAAATGAGTCTTAAACCATGTCAATTGAGCACAATTTTAGTAAATTAAACATCTATTTTTATCTTAAAGGTTAATATTTGATCTATACTTTGTAATTCAAAATAAATATGAATATAACATTTTAGGAAAATTATTAAAATCAGTCTTCATTCTTAATTTTTGTAATTATTATATTAATTGTTGTAATTGAATATTCATTGGCTATAATCATGGTAATAACTTATTCGTCTATATGCTACTTTTTGTAACCTTTATAATTTTTATGGTTAAATTATTGGAGCTTATTTTTTTTTTCTTGATAATATTTGTTTAGAATTGCAAGTATTATTATTATATTTTTCTAGCAACAAATACGTGAATAGTAGAAATAATTAGATTTGAAAATTTAAACGTGTAATCTCATTTATGTCAACATATTAATAACTATATTCTTATATTTAATTTAATAATAAGATTACATATATATTGTAAACGTCACTATGATTTTTCTTATTTTTCTATCTAGACCGTTAATACTTATATAAACAATTTTGGTAATCACTTGAACCCAACAACTAATTCGTTATCCAAACGTTAAATCATAAATGAACATCATATTGATTCACGTGCATGAAGTTTTAGTTGCCTATTATAAAAATATAACATCAATCCGATTAAAATTAAAACAATCATAAATAGATCATTCAATTTCTAGAAATTTAGTAGTTATATAATTTAAATATAAATTTCATATGAAATGAGATCGCATATTGTTGAAAAGTATGTTTTATAATTTGTTTTCTTAATATAATTTTTACTTCATTTATAAAACTACCGATTGTATTAAGTACAAATGGATACGTATTTTAATCTTAATCGAATCAATACAAAATTTGGTATAGATCTACCCACAAGATTTTTACTTTAAATTCCGCTCCATAAAATCAATTTTACCATTTTTGTTACCCTAATAACTAAAAAGGTAACTCCATATTTTTTTTATATATTTTTTTAAATTATAATGTAATTTTTTAGAAAGTAGTTATATTTGTGAATTATGCTTTGTGGGATTTAGCAAATAAAAAATTGAAAATTAAGTATTTTTTTAAATTTTTAAAATTTTTATTACTTGATTTATATATTTATTAGAAGTAATACTTTTTAAAGGTTGGATTTAATTAGCAAGGTGAAATTTTCGACCTAAAAGTCATAATTATATCATTCTCAAAAAATAAAATAAAAGGTCAAAATTCCCAAATTGCTTATTTAGGGTTTTTTCTTTTTTCCTAATTTGAAAAAATTTCCTTTAAATACTGAAACTCTCCCCAAACTCACTGCCCCCTCAGAAACGTGCTGTCCGTTCTGTACTTCTTCTTCTGCTCTGTATTTCTCTCTCATGTGGGCTATTCTGTACTTCTCTCTCATGTGGTCTCAATGGCTGAGATCGCCGGCCACAGTCCAATCTCTGGCGAAATCTCGTTCTGGCCACTTCTCCTGCTCCTCCTTCAAAGATATTCAAGACCTCTGCCGTGAAGATTCCGATTCCGATTCCGATTCCGGATCCGTCTCTCCTCCCAACACTCCCAAGAAGCCTTCCATTTTCCACCGCGTCCGCCTCTACACCTCCGTCCTCCGCTCCTGGTCGCACCGTCGCCTACAGCTTCCGGACTCCGAGCACCGAATCGTCGTTTACCACACCTCTCTCCGCATCGTCCGCCGTACCTTCGAGGACTGCCGAACCGTCCGATCCATCCTCAGAGGCTTCCGCGTCTCGATCGACGAGCGCGACCTCTCGATGGACTCGAAATTCGTCGACGAGTTGCAGGACTCGATCGGACGAAAGAATATCAGTTTACCTAGAGTCTTCATTGGCGGTCGATATATCGGCGGAGTGGAGGAAATTAAGCTGCTGAATGAGAGCGGGGAGTTGAAGAGACTGATCGAACGGCTTCCGGAAGCGGTTTCGTTGTTTTGCGAGGTATGCGGAGGGATTGGATTCATTGTTTGCGAAGAATGCGATGGAAGCCATAAGATCTACGTCGAGAAATGTGGATTCAGAACGTGCAATGCTTGCAACATCAACGGCTTGATTCGGTGCCCTTCCTGTTCATCGATGCGGCTCCGCAGCACAGGTTGTTAACGCCTCTAACCAATAGAATTAGGAAAAAAAAAACGACTAAATAAATAAAATCATCATCATATCATATTAACCATTTCCATGGAAATCGTAACACAGTTTAGTTTACTTTCAATTATAATTGTAAAATAAAAAAACGACTAATGAAATAAAATCATCGTATTATATTAATCATCTTTGGTCTCTTCACTTACTCCTCCATTCCCTATTCAAATTTTACTCGTAAACTGCTCAACTTCCATTTGAACAAAGATGTGGTATACAGCTAAGTTTGTAAATTTTGTGTTAATTAGGATTTATTAAAATGAAAATATAAGGGAAGAAGTTGACGGTACAAATGATGAAGAGCTTATCCCTTCAAATTTTAAAAATAAAATGAGAACACAGATATTAAAATACAATGAATCTAAAGTTTATAAAAACAAAATAATCTAACATTCATAATATTCTTTCTTTTAATATCCATAATATCCATATTTTATCTTCTATACCGCTCTAAAATTCTTTTTGTAGTGAATGCCCCGTTAATGTAACCTCAAATGCTTTAATTGTCAATTCTAGTATGGAGCAAAAGGGGTAACCTATGGATTAAGTCAACCCTACTCCACTAGTAAAAATAGAGTGAAAGATAGGTAAACCACACTCTTATTTTATGGTTTTATGTAACCACTCCTATTTTATTGTTTTTCGTTTATGATTTTTTTAGTAAAAGATTGAACCATTAATTGTAAGAGTGATAATTGATATTTTAACACGGAATCATTTGAATTGGCATGAAAACTACTATTGAATCAATAATATTGAATCATTGTGCAGTCAAATTCACTATTACAATGTATCGCATGGTTCTTGAAGAGAAGAAAATTAAACGTTTCTTTTGAAAGAATTAATGAATGATGAATTAAAGGGATGACCCAACTAATTAATCTGCCAACATCATGTTTCAGATATATGATAGGAAGACAAAAGGCCATTTGCACAACTAATATATTATCTGTTTATTTTTTTAAAATCAACTTTTTTTCCCCCTTGTTTTTTTTCTTTTCCTTAATTAGTTCAAATGAAGGCAATTTAATTTGATGATCACAACAGTGGTATCGTCGACTGAGCCTCTTGATGCTGACAAGGCCGCCAACTGCTTGCAGGCCGACATTAATAGCGGATTTGGTTTTTTATTCTCCATGATCTCCACACCGCACGCTGCCTCCACTACGTCTACTGCTTCCTGATTCGTAATCTGTGAAAATATAATGAACCAAATTCAACCTCCTTTCTCAAGACTCCTAATTCATCATCCTCCATTTCTATATATATAGTGTTGAATAAAGCTATAATTTGTTACATTTTTTGAAAAAAAATTGTATAGGAGGATGAGAGTTGTTGAAACGAAACGAAACTCACCTTGTCCCAAAGACCATCAGAAGCAAGGATCAAGTAATCGCAATCATCCTCGATCTTCACTACTCTCGTCTCCGGCTCTGATATCACCCACTGTTTCAGATGCTTGTCTCCAATGGCTCGAGATACAGCCAGTGTTCCTTGAACTCTCCATGCCCCACGGCAACAGTCTACATAACCGCCCTGGATAGAACAAATATGCAGATATTAACAACAAATTCTTCCAATTAATCATTTGCCAAACCAAACTCTTCGATTTGATCGAGATCCATGAACGTCGAGATTTCGTTTCTTACCGATTTTTCGATCCGATTTCTCTCGTCTTCTCTACACGCCCGGTGATCGGAGGTTAGGGCTTCCGCCTTTCCCTTTCGACTCAACACGGCGCGACAATCGCCGACGTTCGAGACTGCGAGATGTCCGTTCCGTATCAATGCGGTGGCGGAACAGGCGCCGCCGCTGACTCCTTGCTCCGATACTTCCCGATCGGTCGCCAGATAGCCGTCTTTGATTGCTTCCTCGAGTTCCGATTCGGTTCTTCTCGTTACTTGATCGATTACATTCTCGCTCATTCTTTTCGCTGCGATTTCCGCCACTTGTGCTCCTCCGTGTCCATCGAAAATTCCGAAGAAAGCCTGTAAGTTCATTTAGTATATCAAATTGAATAAAATCTTCGGTGTGTTGATTTTGAAATCAAACGGAACGAAGAAGCTGCAGTTTGAGACCTAAATTTCAAGTACCTGCCGAGAATCTCCTTGAATTCCAACTGTGGCTGAGAATCGATCCTCCATGGCAATCCGTCTTCTTCCTCTTTTACAATAAACCGAATATCCTTCTCCTTCCTCCTCCATCACCTCCGGCGTCTCGAAAGTTCCGAATCCAAAACCGATGGACGGCACAATCGTCGGCACGTCAATTCTCGCCGGCCTCCTCCTCTTCAAAACAGTATCAACATCAGGCAATGACGAGGCAGACGGCGGACAGGACACGGATCTCGGCAAAGAAGAATAAGAAGGAGAAGGAGAAGAATAATTCAGAGAGTACGACTTGTAGAGTGGTGAAGCAACTTTTGGAGGTGAGAATAATGGAGTCATCGTCGTCGTGGTTGTCGTCGGCGCTGCAACTGCGCACATACTGTTGCCTTTTGTGCTTGGATTTGATTTTGCAAAGATGAATGGAATGAAATGGAAGTGCATAGGGGAAGTAGTATTTATAGTGTTTCTCTCAATATTCTTTTTTTAAAATTTGATTACTTTTTTTTTTGTTTCTTTTTGAAATGGTTCGATGCGTGATGCAAATACAATGCAACATGCATGAATATTTGAAAGGATCCGGCTTCACGCTCTTACCGGGTCCGTGCAGCCAACGACTTTTCTTAGAAATGTAAAAAATCTCCTTTTTACCGTATATTTATCAAATTAATTGAAATCCTAAATTAGAAATAACTTTAAATTTTGTTTTTAATAGTTAAAATAATTAGATTTTTTTTATTCATGAATTGGACATAAAGTTAAGCGTATCAATTTTAAATTTATATTTCATAAATTAATTATTTAAAAATAAATAAACAAGAGATATTAAACATTTTAAAGTATTAGCGACCAAATTAATATAAAAATATTTTTGAATTAAACTCTTAATTGAATTTGTATATAGTTGTTGTGGACGTTGATGCTTATGAATTTAGCATATAGTTTTAAAATATACAATGGATGATCAATGCTTGCACAACACGCGCCGGTGCACGTGAGTGCTTCTCGAAGCCAATTCTGAGAAATTGTCGAGACTTCTAGGTGGGGTTTATCTTGAATTTATATATATATATATTTAAAAATAATAGTTTTAATTAAACGGTCTTTTATTTTTTAATTAAATAAGAAAAATTCAATAGTCAAACTGGTCTAAAATTTTCTGGCCCTAAGCTGTTTGACTCAGTCTGTATTCGTGGACGCCGGCTCTCAGCCCTTCCATTTAGAACGAATATACCGCAACGATACTCTTACACTCGTGGCAGATTTGAATTGTTCCACGTGTCGACTACACATCGTTACATGCGTGGCAGATGTTAGTGAGCTAATAAGACCCACGGATTACTCTAACCCACGTGTCAATGGACTCAGTGGGTGTTATTAGTTTGTCCAATTAGGCCGACTGGTTTGGAAGGGATGTTAGTCAGTCGAAGTGGGCCACGTGGGATTGAAGCACGTGACTGAAGTGGAAAATTGTTTGGAAGCGGTAGCTGAGGGCACGTGACTGAATCTTGAAGCTTTATCCAAAATTAAGACAAGTCTTCTGCAAATCGTGAAATCGGCTATGGCTATGAAAAGTCTTTTGTATTACGACGGCGGATTGAGAAATGACGAAGGAGAGGGAAAAGTCTAATGCGGCAGGCGTTCGTTCGTGACGGCGATGGAACCCATAGGTCTGGACTAAGCCCTTGTTCCTTTCACGACTGTGAGGCGGCGAACGATGACGGTAAGTGGGGAACGGAGACGGCGAGTGAACGGTAAATTATTATTTAAAAAGGATTAGATCATAAAATTATATAAGTTTTGCAATTTGTTCCTATTTAATTTTTTTTATAAGTTTTAATAATGCTTTTCAATTTTTTTCAAAAATATCTTAAATTTTTTTTTTAAAAAAATCATCAATAATTTTCAACTTAATATTTTATTTTATTTTTTAAAAATTCATTTAACACTGTGAATTTAATTTTTTTTTTTACCTTCTTAATATATAAACCATTAAAAATTATTTCCAAACCTTCCAATATTACTTTTGAAAGTCAGTAAATAATATTTAAAGTTTTTTTTATATAAAAATTGGATAGAAATGAAATTTTTGAAAATTTAAGAATATTTTTTAATATTTTAAAAAATTGAAGAGTATTTTTAAAAGAGGCGTTTATTTCTATTGTTTTTTAAAATTTAAATGTATTTTTTCTTTAGATTTTTTAACTTTTTGAAAAAAATTATTATTTTTAGACCATATCTAAAATTTATAGTTTTTTTTTTAATTTATTAATTCAGCCTAAAAATTTATTGACTTTAAAATAACTTAATTCTATTTTAACTTTTATAAATATTTGAAGTTTATACTTTATTTATATATCTAAGTGGATGGACAAATCTATAATTGATTAATTATTTTTCCGCCACAAATAATAGTCGAACAATTCATAACCAATCATAAATTCGTAGTTTACTGAAAATAAATACAAAATTACTTATATAATACATCTAAATGCAAGTATAACAATAATTTACCCATTAATATATTAATATTATCAACAAAAAATAAAAAATAAAATAAAATAAACACATGTTGAACATTTTAAAATGATTCAACAAACGACATCATCAGTAAGATCGTGAAATGCAAACACATACAATATGACCATCATTATTAAGACTAATGAGATTTAAAACCAAGTGTCATTGGGATCCTCTTCTTGTACAATTGGATGAGCATTATTTTTCTACACACGACCCATACACATGCTTAAAGTAGCAAAAATAATAATAATAAAATCATCTAGAGACGTTGGGACTTAAATATTTCAAGAAGATTGTACGTTAATAGTTAAGTTAATACGTCCAAATTTAATATACAAAAAGAAAGATACATTGATGACAATATTTCTTTGTCAAATTCTTATAGTATTTAGTGGGTTATTGAACGTTTAAGGGTATTATTATTATTATTGACTTTTCAAATCCAATTACAATTTTTTTTATTTTTTGGTAATATTTTTTTTTAAAGTTGTTCAACTATGGATGAGAAAATTTGTAGTAATATTGGAAAGAAACAGTTAAGAATTGCTTAAGATTTATAAAATAAAATGGATAAATGGTTAATTGAAAAAAATTATGAAGAATATGTAGAAGAAAAAACAAAGTCCTACTAGAGTTTTTCCCGGCGTGGACCAGGCAATTTAGATTTCAGGAGTCCGAACTTTTCTTTTTGACGGGAGATCAAGCAAGCTCTGTTTATGCAAAATTGGCCATCTTCCAACCATCCCCAAGAACCCCATCCGTATTACCATCCAATTCCATTGTTCTTCTGAGAAAACATTTCTTCATCCGATGCGTTATCTTCATCTTTTGAACAATACCCATAACCCGAAGGCGGACGAGAATCAAGAATCAAGTTACATTTCGAAGAAGATCAACGCAAAACCGAACACAGTCCCTGTTTTTGGTTAATCCGCCATGTTTTCCAAATTCTTTCATAAACCCGTCGATCAACAATCTTCGTCGTCGTCAGCTCCTTCTTCGGTAGATTAATTCGAAAGTTCTTCGCATTTTGCTTCCGCCCCCTTTTGGATTTGAACATTCTTTTGCTTAACTCAACAATCGTTGATGGGTATCCGTGAATTCAGCTTGAACTATGGTGCAATCATGAGGAAAATTTATTTCGAGATCAATTATTTCCTTTTGCACCGTTTCTATTATGTGTGTTACTCAATGCTAGGCCTGTAAAGTTATGTTGAGCATGATTAATTTGTGCTTTGGGGCTCAATAGAAATAGTTTCTTTTCACGTGCCTAGCTGCCTAGCATATGGTTTTTGAGCTATATTATAATCTACAATCACCATTAGTGTTTCACTTAAATGTTCTTTTGATGGCAGAGGGCCCAGAAGGGAGTATTGGGTGCAGCTGATTTGGACCCACGGGTCACTCTCCACTATGGGATCCCGCCTACTGCATCTATTCTTGCTTATGACCCCATACAGAGTCTTTTAGCTGTGGGAACACTGTAAGTTAGCTTGCTACCTTTTGGAAGATTATTTATCACTAATCATTAGTTATTGCTTTAAAGGTCATTGATTATTTATCATTAATCATTAGTTATTGATCTACTTTCAAATTATTATGGATAATGTATTCATAACCCCTTTAAGATTTTCATTAATTCCAATTTGTTGAAATTTTTGCAAGTGGGAAAGTGACTTGAGTGATGGTTCAGTGTCTTAGCATTTGAAGAGTGGAATGGAATGGAATGAATTCCAACCATCCTTATCTGGAAGGAAATATGTTCAACCATTCTTAGTTGTTGTTGTTTTAATTCTTGGTCTTTCTTGCTGCAGGGATGGTCGAATAAAAGTTCTTGGTGGTGACAGCATTGAAGCTATTTTCACTTCTACTAAACCATTGCCATTTAAAAATTTGGAGGTCTCTAATTATGGTTTAGAAAAAAAAAAAAAAGTCTATCTTTTACCCATGCCTACAGCATTAAGCATTCTCTTCAATCGGATGAACGTCGTTCATCTCTTCTTAGTTTTGTTATATCATTCACGTCTCGCATGGTTTACGAAACTTTAAATGAATTTTATGGCTTGGATGACATAGTATGTTTATTGGATTGAGCAAATGCATGCATTTTAGCCTGTAAGTTTCTCGTCTGGTTGGCGCTTCTATATACATCGCTGATATTCCGACATCACGACGTTTTAACGTTTACTTTTGTTCATTTTTACAGTTCTTACACAATCAAGGTTTTCTAGTAAGCATATCGAACGATAATGAAATCCAGGTTAGAGTCTCGACATTATTAACTTTTTATCAGTTACCTAAAGGCATTTGCAGCTTCTGTACTATATTTGTTGAGTAAGCTTGTTTCATTCTTTTTTTTTTCTGTAGTTTCTTTTCCACCAGTTACTAATGTGTATGGTAATGTTAGGTTTGGGAATTGGAGCGTAGGCAGTTAGTTTCTACTTTACGATGGGAATCCAATATAACGGCCTTCTCTGTACTTTATGGCACCTGCTACATGTACGATACCGGCATAAATTATTTTCTTTGTTAAAAAAAAAATTGTTTTGAACTTATTAATTGAAAATAAATGAAAATGATGACCTGTCATTGTATTCAGGTATGTAGGAAGTGAATATGCTATGGTGGCTGTCTTAAAGTTTGATGCTGAAGAAAGAAAAATCAAACTATTACCCTACTATCTTACTTCAAATGTCATATCTGGTACTATTATTTTCTTTTTATGTGGATTAAAGCATCTCTAAAATCTCATGTGATCTTGTCTACATTATGTAGATTCTTAGTTTCAACCATAGTTGTCATCTTAAATATTAAATTGCATCCCTAGTGGACGACCAAGGTAAATGGTAAAAGGCTCGACGGAAATGGATTAAAGTCTTGGTGGCTACTTATCTGGGTTGAATATCCTACAAGTAGGGTCAAGCGATTGTCATGAAAAAAGTTGAGGTGCATGTAAGCAAATTCGAACACTCGTATATATATAAAGCTGCACCAAAGAGGGTTTATATGGTTGAGGAGAAAGAACATGTAATGAATGGTTTTATCATTTATACCTTTGATGTGCGTTACGATGGTAGTTACGTGGTTATCTTATAATCCGATAACTCCACGTCTCATCTTAATTGCTTTACATATAAATCGATAATAATAGAATGTAGCATGTGTTATTTGCAAATTCAGTAAAATAAGAGTTCCTTCCACCTGGTCAGTTCACTTGTATTGCATAAATTAGGCTGTGGACAATTTCTTAGTAATGAAATGACGATTAAACTTGTTACTGAATGTTTAATGGACACATTTTATGAGTTTAAGACTTCTTATTTAGGATTAGAAACAAAAAACATTAGAAAGAAAAGTTTGAGCCAGTGCATTTTAGAGGAAAGGACTTCTGAGCTTTGAGCCAGTCAAAATACTCGATTAATTTCACCTTCAAATTTCTTTTGTTTTTTTGTTTTTTGTTATTGTAAATGAGGTTGGGATGATAAAGTAGCTCTGAATTTGTAGATCATACTGACATGTATTATATGTTTGATTTCTCAGATGTAACTGGTGTGGATCTGCCTGATCAAACTTCTGTTGTTGGAGTTCTCCTTCAACCTTGTTCTCTTGGAAATCGGCAAGAAAACATTTTATCTTTGCCTCTTGTTTCCCCGTTCAAAGCCTTTACCCACTATTTATGAAGTAGTTTGTTGGGCTGTTATTTGAATATAGGATGATTTTGTGAAGGTACTTGTGGTTTGAAAACTCTAATAGCCACATAGTGCTGGAAGCCCTTGGGTAATAAACTCTAGTCTTTTAAGGCTTTGATTGTGACCTTGGATTAGTCTCTGTTTGACCTCAAAATTGATACCTTTCCTTTATCATAATTTTTAACCCAAAGAGTGCTTAGATCTTCTCCGATGCTTCCAAGTGAGTGTTTCTTTTCATCTAGTTACTGAGACTGGAGCTCGGAAGTACACACTGAGTCCCCCCTCCCCCTTTTCTTTTCCATGTAGTTATGGAGTCTTTTCAGTGTGGGGTTGGGGGAGGAGGTGCATGGGTTGAGAATTTGTCCTAGAGTTAAGTAGGTTTGTCTGTTTGTGTTGGCATACATGGATGAAAAAAGAGAAACGCAAATCTTGAGAGAACGGTGGGAGAACTGAAACGGTGTGCATGAGACCCCTTAGATTCCTTCCACTCTAGTACTCAATGACCATGTACAGAGATTTCTTCATGTTGAATATTTCTATACTCTCCTCTTACATTTCTAGTATATGTGTTCACATGGGAAGACCTAATAAGCTTTTATTTTCATGAATGTAACTTGGCTCAATGCACTTAATAAATTTTATTTTGTTCTATGTAAAATTTATGGCATGTCATCTTTTACAGACTGCTGATTGCATATGAAAATGGCTTGCTTGTTCTCTGGGATGCTTCAGAAGATCGAGCTGTGTTAGTAAGAGGTCACAAGGACCTTGAATTGACGGAGAGTAACATAACTAATCACTCAACAGATGTATCAGACCTTGAATTGGAGAAAGAAATAAGCTCTCTTTGTTGGGTAACAAGTGATGGGTCGATCCTAGCTGTTGGCTATGTTGATGGAGATATCTTATTTTGGAATTTTTCAAATGTTACCTCTTCCAAAGATCAGCAAGTTAATCAATCTCGTAATAATGCTGTCAAGCTTCAGTTATCATCAGGCGATAGAAGACTGCCTGTGATTCTTTTGCGTTGGTCTCCAAGTGAGTTGCAAAATCACAAGGGGGAGCTTTTTGTATATGGTGGTGATGAAATCGGATCTCCAGAAGTGCTTACTGTATGATGTGCACTAAATTTTAGTCTTTCTACCTCTCCATTATAGTTGCATAGTTTTCTATTTCGTATGTGATTTAAGAAAGGTGGAAACTTATAATCGTTAGTTGGGATGCAAACTAACAAGCTTGTGAGGCTACTATGTTGTACACATCAATGTAGCTTTGTGGGTTTCTTCCAATTCTATTATAGAGGCTTCGGGTCCTGCCCTTTGGTGTTCCTCATTTGGCTGTTTATTCCAATAATCAATGTTGTATAAGAAAGGAAAAGACTAACAATATTTCATAGAAAATTGTAGGCAAGACTTGCAAGTGAAGCTTTGTTAGAAGAGATGAACAACTTAGTCTAGAAATCTTTCAATATGCATTATAAGCTTGTTTTTATATAATGTGACTTGCTATGATCGAACTTGTGTATATGCTTTCTGTATGTTTTGGGTGACTGTTACATATGTTGTTAATGGAAAATTGGACTACTTTGTGATGCGTTGGAAATCTAGAAGGCCCCACGATCATGTGTTGGGGCACTATAACGCAGAACTATAGGAGCACTCTAAAATCTTCTGCTTGAATATGTACTTCCATAGAATGTAAAATAAAACGAACATATTCTTCATGTTTTCACTAATTTGAGTCCTATAATCAATGCATAGTAAAACTTTAGTTTGTTTCTTCATTAAATCTTTGCATATTTTTGTCAACTTTACTTTTTTCTGTTACTATGTATTGCTTCATATTCATAATATGATTGTTCTTGTTACAGATTCTAAGCCTTGATTGGTCTCCTGGAATAAAAAGCTTAAAATGCATGGAACGTGTTGATCTAACACTTGATGGTTCTTTTGCGGATATCGTTTTATCACTTAACGTTGGTGAAACGAAAAGAGGCACTTTCCTATTTGTACTGGCCAATCCTGGACAGTTGCATGCTTATGATAATGCGTACTTGTCTAGCATAATGTCTCAGCAAAAGAAAATATCTTCTGGTTCTGGCCTGCAATATCCTATGGTAATACCCAATATTGAACCACGTGTAATGGTTACGAAGTTGGGTTTCATTCATAGAGAGAAAACGGTCTTCAGGGCTCTGAATGAGGTATTCTAACTTTTATATGATTAGTCAACCTAATTTAATAGTGAAAGAAAATATTTTACAGTTAAAAATCACAAAACATCGTACTCAGGTTCCGAGGGATACAACGTGGCCTTTGACTGGTGGTATACCATGTCAACTTCATGATGCTGAAGATTATCAGGTTGAGAGAGTTTATATAGCTGGTTACCAAGATGGCTCAATTCGAATATGGGATGCAACATATCCATCCTTCTCACTTATTTTCTCTTTTGAGCCTGAGGTTTGTATTTCATGCTATGTTTTCTTGCAAGTTCCAATTATATTATATTCTGCAGATAAACTCTTTTGTTTATGTTAGGTTATGAGCAAATTCATGAGTTTCATCTGTAGAGCACTTTTGAATATGGCATGCATCATGTACAGGTAATTGGTTTAAATATTGCTGGTTTAAGTGCTTCGATATCAGCTTTGGACTTTTGCTCGGTCACTCTATCCGTAGCTGTGGGCAATGAATGTGGTCTGGTAATGTCATTTATTCTTTTAAGTTCCCTTCTTTTCAGAGAATTGAAATAAATGATTAGGTCACTATATCTACATTTGGGAGTTTGTAGGTTCGTCTTTACAAACTAATTGGGAGCTCGGAAGGGGCAAGTTTACACTATGTGACAGAGACTAAGAATGAAGGTATATTTTTGCACTTAAAATTCACTCTATTGATAACTATAGTTTTCTAGATTTACCTTCAGCAATATCCTTAGTACTTGGATGTATTTTGGATTAGAAGAAAATGGCTAAAGGCTAGCTAGTTAATGTATGATCTTTGAAACAAAATATTCATTAAGGAGATGTGGGGGCTACCTGGCATACTAAAAGCCTACCCACGTGTTTACTAGTGTTCTTTGGCAAGAGCTGTGCGAACTTTGAATGACAATCATTCCATATAGGATTATAGCATGGTATATGACTACACAGATGACATGTTAAGAGTGATCAACAAATGTTTGGAGTCTATCTACGATGTTTTGCATTTGATTAGCCAAAAGTTGGGCTACATGAGCGTCAGGGATGGAATACTAGGATAACACTTCTTACCCTGTCTTCACCAGAAATACTTTGTTCAAACTGTTGTATGGCCCAGTTCCTTCTTTATTGGTATGACTAGAGCATCATTTTCAACGGAATTGATTAGAAATATAAAGTAAAGAGGAGGTTGTCATTTTGGGTGGTCTCAAGTTTCAAATCATATGAGCTCAACAAGCCATGAAAGCTAATGTTGTAAAGTACCATAGAGACGTGGAACGTCTAGTAGGGGACTTGGTATTTCTAAGGTTACCTTATCAACCATGCTTCTTTGTAGTCAAATGCAAAAGTTGGTTTCAAATCTTTTAAGGCTCTTTCCCAGGAATGGAATGAATGGAGAGGGTTGGCACTCCTTTGAAGGTAGATGGGATACACCCAATTTTTCATATCATAACTGAAACTAGCAAAGGGACCCAATCTAAAGCCCAGCCTGCTCTTTACCACCTCAGCCAAGTTTTGAACTAAAGCCCAACTCAGCTCAGCAGTAGTGTTAGGAATCTGCACCCACGCCCCTACCCCCACCCCCACCCCCACCCCGTTTGTTAGTAAGAGTAGCCATAAAAGATGCGGCTGATTGAATGAAGGCAGCCAGTTGGTAAACTGTCTAACATTTTTACTTCCTTTAGTTAGGGTTTAGGGTTTCCTCCCTCGTTGCAAATTGGGAAAGTCTTTTATAAACATCATGGGTATTACATCTCTTTTGTAAATTTCTATCATCAATGAAATTGTCTCTTATAAAAAAAATGAAGGCAGCCAGTTGGTTGTCGAGTGTAAGTAGGAGACAATTGGGCCTTGAAGAGTAAGAACTTTTATTTTTCCTTTCTCCCAAAGTAGCATGACACATAGATTACTACTGTATTTCAATGAATGATATTTGTTTATTTCTAACGTGCTTGTAGTTCATAATATGCATGGTGGAGAAGGAATCCAATGTGTAGCTGTGTTTTCTGTTGTAAATTCTTCTGTTAGCACTCTAAGTTTTGAGAACTGTGGAGCCGTACTTGCTGTTGGATTTGAATGTGGACAGGTGAGTTTATCGTGCACATCATGTTTATTTGTTGAAGTGTCAAAATTCATTGATCTATCTACTGCCCCGAGTATTCTCGAGCATAAGCATAATACCAATAGATCCCAAATCACGAAGTTTTATACACACAAGAAAGTGAAAATGGGAGAGCCATGTAATATGTGAGGGCGTGTCCTGTGACCATTCCTACTATGTAGGGGCATGTGCTTGGGTGATTTTGTGGGCTCTGATGAATATTCTTAGTTAGATCGCAGAGCACTGAGTATTTGGGTCTTTAAGGTATTGTTCAATCGAAATGGGGTATACTTTTGGTATCTTTTTGTGAGGCTCACAGGCTCTCTAGTCCTCTCTTGCTTAGCCAAAATTGTTGATAATTGAAACGAAGTCCTATCAAATACATTCTGGATCACTCTTGAATATTTATAACAGGTTGCAGTGTTTGATACTAACACATTATCACTGCTGTATCTGACAAATGACGTGTCGAACTCAAGATCTCCAGTCATATCTTTGGCGATCAAATCATTTCCAGATACAAATCACTTGGAGGCTGGTTCTGATGAGTCTATTCCACCCAGAAAGGGAATTTTGCTAGCAATGACCAAAAATTCATATTTAGCTGTCCTCGATAGTACCAACGGTGAAATCATCAGCTTCCAATCAACATATGCAAAGGAGTCGAGTTCAATATCTATGTATATCATTGGTATGTATTTCATTAGAACGAAAAAAAAAACGTTTCTGTTTCTTTTCATTTCTCTACTCTTGCTACTCTTAGATTTGTTTTAGTCACATCAAGTTTTTGTTCAGAGAGTGATTACTTATCACCTGAAGCACTCAGTGTAGCTCATGCACCGAGCACCCCAAAGATCACTGGAGAAAGCTATTCTGTACCTGCCAATGCCCACTCTGGACGTACATTGCATGAAGTTGGAGCCGATACCTCCAGTGGAATTGCTAACTTGTTCGTTTTGCTTTGCTGTGAGACAGCTTTATACCTGCACCCATTGAAGCTTATGAATGAGGTGCCCTCTGGTTTTCTTACCATGCTTCCTCCATTTCTAATCTGTTTTTGCTAATATGTTGAGCGTCCTTATTATAGGGTGAGAATAAGTTTTTACAGAAAGTGAATCTTTCGAAGCCATGTTGTTGGACATCAATGTTAAAGAAGGACGGCAAAGTGTCTGGCTTGGTTGTTCTTTATCAAAATGGTGTGATTGAGATCAGGTGAAGTTCTGAGCGTGCTAAATTAAGAATCGAAACTTGAGTTTTCCTGAGAAATTATGGTAAAAAAATATTTTGAGAACTGGATTTAATTATTCTCTGAACTATTGAGAGGAACAAAGTTTCTATATTGTCTTGTTTTGCATTTTCTTTTTCTTTTTCTCTTATAACATTGGTATATCCTAACTTGAAAACCATGCATATTACCTGTTTTAGCTTAAGCAATGGTACCTTGGTTGTATTAATAGTTAGGCTTCCATCTCTAAGCAGATCCTTCCAAAATCTTGAGCAAGTGGTGTGGGAAAGTTCCTTGACCTCAATTCTACGGTGGAGCTTCAAGACAAACATGGAGAAAACAATATGTTCTTCTGATGATGGCCAAATCATGCTGGTTCTCTCTCCCCTAATTCTCTAGTCGAAATATTTTATCTCAGTTTATATTACCAATAAAAATCTTATTATTCACTGCCTGCTCTCTTTTATGTGGAATTTCCACTATCTTCTTTTTATTCACACTTTATCATATTACTTTCTTTGTGCTATTCTCTTTAGTATTCAAACAAATTTTCGTTTTTTAATTGTAAAAACACCATGGAAGAAAAATTAACAGGTGTATGTGAACCCAAATATGCATATTTCTTGCACTGCATTTATTTGGATTTCTCGATCTTCTTACGCATGATGCTTCTAGATGTACCATACAATTTGTCTGCAATTTGTTTTGGCTCACTATCAAACCGATTATCATGAGTAGCTTAATTTAGATTGATAGCTTTGTATCATGAGTGTTTTACTTACTCGTATTATGATTTGATTTTACAGTTAAATGGGACTGAGTTGGCTGTAGTGTCTCTATTGATCTACGAAAATGCTTTCAGGTTTTTCTCCCAATATCATAGTGTGTGTGTGCGTGTTATGAGGAGATCAGTGTGTCTTCCTCCTTTCAAGCTTTTCATCAATTTGAGGTGTTATTCTTCATTTTTAGGATTCCCGAGTCGTTCCCTTCCCTCCACGACGAAGTCCTTGCAGCTGCTACGGAAGCCTCGAACAACTTTTACCCAAGCCAGAACAAACAAGTAATATTGCTCTACTTTCATGCCATTTTCTAATGCTGTTTTGAAAAGTCTTCTATCCGAATGTCTCATTTCGTGTCGTTTCAACTGTCAAAGGATGCTACTGTTTCTGGGTTTTTAGAAAGTGTTGTTAAGGGCTTCAAGGGCAGTAAAGTGGAAAACGATGTGGACCCTTTAAGCCTTTGTAAACTGAATGATTCACATCTGGAAAGTTTGTTCTCATATCCTCCATTTTTAAAGCCTTCCAAAGGTGTCACAGATGAGCTAGGCGTCATTGAGCTTGACATAGGTTGTGTTCTTGCGCTTATATTGCACTCCTTCACCACCTTTAATACCTTTCTATTATTTTCTGAATCTGCATTGGTTTCTGATGCAGATGACATTGAAATTGATGAACCTTTAGTCGTGCGGTTTTCACCGAAGAAAAACAAGAATGAAAAGGAAGGTATTAGTACTCTCATCTGCTGGTATTTTCTTGATTTGTATTACATTTTACACTTACATTTCGACGTCAATGAAGGCAAGAGGTCGGAGAAGGAAAAGTTATTTGAAGGTGGTAGTACTGACTCACAACCTAAGATGAGGACAGCTGAAGAAATTAAGGCCAAATACAGAAAAGCTGAGGTATTAGTTATGATGATTTGGAATGGTTTTTACCTTTCTTTGAATTTTCTCTGACTGCTATGAGTGTTCCCAGAGTGCTTCTACGGCAGCTGAAGAAGCCAGGAATAAGCTATTAGAACGCCAGCAGAAGCTTGATGTATGTTTCAATTAATAGCCTTGTTCTATTTTTACATCTTACATGATAGGTTTTGGTTGCTCATGAGATATGAATGCCATAAAATGCTGTGATATATGGCTTATTAACTGTTAGGTGTCTCTTTCAAATAGGGAAATATCGTAGCTTAACTTCGAGAGATTTAGATTCTTATAGCAAACTAACACATTTGCTGTAGCAGTCCAAGCCCCCGCTATCCGATATTATCTTTTTTGAGTTTTCCGTTAAGGTTTTTTAAACGCGTCTGCTAGAGAGAGGTTTCTACACCCTTATAAAGAAAGTTTCGTTCTCCTCCCCAACCGATGTGGGATCTCACATTTGCTTCATGATTATCCTCTACTTTGGATGTCTGAAACAACTTAATGTAGTCGTACCCAACATCAAAACTCATTAGGATGATCACCACCATCGAACTACGTCGTTGTAAACTATAGTCCGTTGTTTGACTAGTCAAAACCATATATGAAATAGTTTCCTGTGCAGCTGGAGCGGGATTCAGGATGATCAGCATATCGTATTAAATTATTTGGGGAAAAGGTAGATTAGTTGGCTTAGACTTGAGTGAGATTGTGAAAGAGAGGGAGGCTTCATGTAATCGTCTAAGCCTATCGCCGGTAGATATTGTCTTCTTTAGGGTTTTCCTTCAAGAGTTTCCCCGCAAGGTTTTAAAACATGTCTACTAAGGAAAGGGTTACACACCCCTTATAAGGAATGTTTCGTTCCCTTCTCCAACCGATGTGGAATCTCACAATCCACCCCATTTGGGGCCAACGTTCTCGTTGGCACACCGTCCAGTGTCTGGTTCTGATACCATTTACAATGGCCTAAGTCTACCGCTAATAGATATTGTTTTCTTTGGGTTTTTCCTTGTGGGCCTCTCCTCAAGGTTTTTAAACGTATTTACTAGGGAGAGGTGTTCATACCCTTATAAGGAATGTTTCGTTCTCCTCTTCAACCGATGTGGGATCTCACAGTTCAAGTACACCTCAAATATCTCGTAGTTCTTCATCTTTTATATTTGAATATCAATTTAGTAAGAATGTGGCACACAATGAATGCAACCTCTTACTTGTCCTGTTCGATTGACACCAGAAACTCAGGGAAAGAACTGAAGAACTGCAGAATGGAGCTGAGAGCTTTGCAGATATGGCGAAGGAACTGGCAAAGAGAATGGAAAATCGTAAATGGTGGCAACTGTGAGGTGCAAATTGGTATATTATATTACATTTTACTTGCACAAAGGTCTTCTGTACATATCATAATTTCTGCAACAGAGGCCCTTTTTTTGCCATCTTTTCATACAAACATAGATCTGCTAAACAAACATCTGAACTGTAACAAAGCTTCCCCCTCCTCTGGTTCCATAAATGTAATTATCTTTGAGTTTGTATCAAAACAAATCTGTACAATACTTTTCTGAGTATTAATGGAATATAAAATTTATTTAACTTCGAGATTGTTTCGGAGATAGTTTTATTCCACAGATCGTTCTAGCTCTACCTTACCTTACATTTTTAACTAAAAAGTTAAATATTCGAATTTTTAACGAAAATAAAAGAAAATTATATTATAATTAACGGTGAGATATACTTATAAATCTTATTCTATTATAATAATTTAGTAATAAAACATGTCTTAAATTTTAATTTAATTTTTATTCATTTATATTAATAATTACTCACAAATAAATTATTTTAATAAAATGATATAATTATAAATATTCTCAAATAAATAGAATTTTAGAATTTAATAAAATCCATCCTAAAACAAATAAAGATATCCACATCCTGAAATGGCAATCACGGACCATATGGAAAATACACCAAAGCTTATAATTATGGTAATTTTGCACATTGCTAAGTGGTCCTTCTCATCTTCCACATTGACCCCTCAAAAATGTAATAATTCAACCTAAACCCCGCTATTTATTAGGCCACATATATAGAAAGAAAGAAAAAAACAATGGTTATTATTATTTTATTATTATTATTTTCTTTTCAAAATTTCAAGATACTTATAAAAATAAAAAATTATAAAATATTTAAATTAAGAAATAAACATTTTATTAGTATTCTTGTTGTTTTGCCGATTTCTATTTATCTGTTTATGTTGAAACTATAAATATATGAAGAAAAAAAAAATGAGCATGAAAATCTAATAAAATTTAAAAATTGAAATGTAAAAAACGGAAGGGGGAGGGAGGGGATGAAATAGTAATTTTGTAATATAAATTTAAAACTCTATAAAATATTAGATATTAAATGGGCTATTTAGATGATGTTTCAAGGAAAGTAAATAATTCAAAAGATTAGTATTATTTTAATAATAATTGAAGAAAAGTAAATGGTTTGTTTAAATTTGACATAACACCAAAATAATCCCTAATGGTGCTTGCTGCATAATACATGTATAATACTAAAAAAAAATCGCCATTTAAAAAAATAAAATAAAATTTAAGGATAACAACTAAAGGTAACAATGCAACGAGTTTGAGTAATTGACATTGATAATAGATGTCAATATGAATATGTCTCAATCGATATAAATCATATAATCTCGACTAAAAGATCAATCGCATCGCATGTATTGTTGCACATATTACACTTATTACGCTCGATCTTGTAAAAGACTTTTTTACTTAGAAAGAGATGAATACAGAGATTAAACGAGCATCTCACACCCAAAAGATTCAAGTAGCGGCATGTCATTTTATATTACAAAACAAGTTCTACCCGGTGACACACCAACTACACCCCTTCTCTTTCTCCTACCTGATGTTTACGGGAAGCATCAACTCTATGATCCAAGAATTCAAGCGCGGGTCTATTCTATACTCTCCCATCAACATTCGTCCATCTGAACATTTAAGTAGGACAAATACGCGAACAATTAGATTGAGGTGCAAATATCTAATTCGTCAAAAAATTTGGTATGATTTTAAAAAATGAAAAGTGGTGGTAATTATTTTAATGTTTACATACATATATATATATAAATTAGGGAATTTGTTATAGCAAAATAAAGAATAGGTACAAAAAAGAGCAATTACATGCACAATGGACAAACAAATAATAATAATAATAATAAATAAATAAATAAATAAATAAAAAGGAAAATTAAAGAGGGGGAGTTTTTTAGGGAGTTTGTTAAAAGGGGATGAGAAAGAGGAATATGAGGGGGCTTTCTGGGAGACTTCATTAACACAAAATTTAATTTCCATGTTTTGACTTTTCAACCTTATTATAATTTTTAGTTTTTTGTTTATTATTATTATTTATTTATTTATTTATTGTTATGTTTTGTTCTATGATATGACATATATGGGATTTGTTGTGTATGCACATATAACATGACATTTCTAACATTTTTTTTAAAAAAAAAATTGGTCTAAAAATGATAATTAAAATTAGAATATATTGAGAAATTAAAATTTTCTTATCAAGTTATTAAAACTTAATGTAATAATTTCTTAATAAATTAACTAGAAACTAAAATGCATTTATAAACTAAATATTACAAAATTAAATGGTCACAATATGGATTAAAGTGTATAAGTTTTCAAATATATAGATTAAATTGTTAATTGTTCAAACAAATTTAAAGATAAAGATAGAGACTAAATGGTTATTTTTAAGTATAATGGATAATACTTAATTATTGTTTTTAAATAAAAAAATATTTATCTAAATATACCATGAATATTAATTACATCCAAAATGCCCCAAAAACAATAAATATGCATATATGGTATAATTTGCAAAAAAAGGTAAACAAACCAAAACTTCCAAAGTCAAGAATTCCAACTTTCTTTCAAGAATATCTCGATCTATGGTCTCGATTAGGGACATATTTTTGTCAACCGTGCAATTTATGGTGCTTTACATCTTGCCCCCTTTCAAGTGATTCAAATCAAATAAGGCAAGTTAGAACCACTAACCAATTAGGAAACTCAACCCTAAAATTCGGAGAGTATATATTTTATTTTAATATCTATATTTTTAAATATATAATTTTAGGCCTTACACTTCCACTGTTCTTTATCTTAAAAAATTATTCTCGTTTAGCATTTCTTTTATAAACAAGACATTACAAGCATTGGAACTTTGAAGATTATAAAACTCATTGGAACTTGAAATCATAGACGGTTAGAACTTAAATTGGAATTTAGAAAATTTTCCCGTCTTGCTTTGATGTAGAACTTGGAAGTGGAATTTAGAAAATCCCATTTTAAAAATATTTATATTACGGGGTCTAAGGAAGAACTGTCGTTGTTATAAATGGTGGATATAAATAGGCAGAGTGAGAGAGGAGTGTTGTTGGGTCTTATGTTTGGGAGTGAATGAGGAGAATTCTGGCGGTGTTACCTTATTTCTGCTTCTGATTTCCTTTCATTTGAGGGATTTGTTCGTTGCCCATCTTTCCTTTTCTTCATCTTAAGCTGTTAATGGCGAGGTGGGTTTTATCTGAATGTGGTGTTAAGACCCTTCCCGGGTTCTACCATCACCCATCTAGGAATGGGATTGCTTCCAGAACTTACATGGTTTCTGAGATTAGGCCGCCATTGTTGGCCTCTAAACCTCACATTCTTCGCTCTTCTTTGGGGCTTTTCACTTCATGTAAAGGGAAGAATTGGGCGCTGAATGTGAGTGCTCCTGAGAGAGTTGCTTCTGTTGATGAGGTTGATGAGAGGGAGAGAGTTGATGTGGTTAATGGGGTTGAGGGTGAGGGTGAGGGTGGTATTGACCTAAGCGCTGCTCCGCCGTTTCGGCTGTCCGATATTCGGGCCGCCATTCCTAACCATTGTTGGGTCAAGGATCCTTGGAAATCAATGAGCTACGTTGTGAGGGATGTGGTTGTGGTAGTTGGATTGGCGGCTGCTGCTGCTTACTTCAACAATTGGGCTGTTTGGCCTCTTTACTGGCTTGCTCAAGGGACCATGTTCTGGGCTCTGTTTGTTATTGGTCATGATTGGTAACTTCACCTTCTTCTCGTCTTACAATTCATTTGCCTGATTGCTATGTTGTTTTCCTAATGGTTGGTGACTGTGCAGTGGCCATGGAAGTTTCTCCAATGACCCAAAACTGAATAGTGTTGTTGGCCATATTCTTCATTCTTCAATCTTAGTTCCATATCATGGATGGTTAGTTTCTGATTGCCTTTCTGATCCTGTTTGGTCCATTATTCTTCTCTGTATTGTAGTTTCATTTGATCTTCTTCTTGAACTCTCAGGAGAATAAGCCACAGAACTCATCACCAGAACCATGGTCATGTTGAAAATGATGAATCATGGCATCCTGTAAGTTCTTTGTAGCTAGCCCTTCTAAAGTCTTTAGAACAAGAAATGGTTATTTTGTTGAGTCTGGTTCAATAGCAATATGTTGTTCATATCTGTGTTGCAGTTGACTGAGAAACTTTATAGGAGTTTGGATAAAGCAACAAAAACATTGAGGTTCACCTTGCCTTTCCCCATGCTTGCATATCCTTTCTATCTGGTTAGTACACTCTGTTCTTCATCTTTCTTTATGAACTTCAATCTTAGGCCAACGTTTTGATGAATTCTGATGCATAATGTTGGTGATAATCCAGTGGAGTAGAAGTCCTGGAAAGAAAGGCTCTCATTTCAACCCGAACAGCGATTTGTTTGTACCAAGTGAGCAGAACAATATCCTTACATCCACTGCCTGTTGGGCTGCAATGGTTGCTCTGCTTGGATGTCTAACTGTAGTGATGGGTCCCCTTGAAGTCCTCAAACTCTATGGCATTCCCTATGTGGTGAGTTCGGCTTCGATCACGACGTTTGCCTTCTACGCTCGATCATCGTTCATGTTTTTTTTGTTTCTCATCATTCTTTTGTGTGCCCGGAATGTTGTCCAAATGTAGATTTTCGTCATGTGTCTAGACATTGTGACATACCTGCATCACCACGGTCACGACGATAAACTTCCTTGGTATCGTGGAGAGGTATACTGATCAAATGTTTTCAAGTGTTTGGTGTGGAATTTCCAAGAACAACACATCATAAAGTGTTGTGCTTGACACCATTTTTTTAACTTCTGTGGTTCTACATCTGATGATCTAACAGGAATGGAGTTACTTAAGAGGAGGATTAACCACTCTCGACCGCGATTATGGATGGATCAACAACATTCATCACGACATCGGAACTCATGCCATTCACCATCTCTTCCCTCAGATCCCACACTATCACTTGGTAGAGGCAGTGAGTATCCTTCTCTACCCTGCATCTGAAATACAAACCTATCTTTGTTCCATATATTCAAAGCTCTCATTGATAACAACTGCGATCTTATCGTGCTAGACCGAAGCAGCAAAACCAGTGCTCGGAAAGTATTACCGGGAACCAGAGAAATCTTGGCCTCTCCCATTGCACTTATTTGGAGTTCTTGTAAAAAGCATGAAAAGTGATCACTTTGTGAGCGATACTGGGGACATTGTATATTATCAGACCGACCCCGACCTTTCTTGATCAAAGCAACAAGACCGAGACACTGCATATTGTCATAACCAATACATCAAATTCTTCACGATTCGAAAGCTATTGGAGTTTGAAATATTATCAGTTGCCAAAAGAACTTGTATAGAGAAGAAGAAGAAGAAGAAGCTGTTGGTTGATGACGAGTTCATGCTTTTAGGATATTTGATTTATGGATGCTGTAAACAGAAACTACAGTGCTGTTAAGTGCTGTTAAATGATATGATATGATATGGGATGAGTCATTTACTTCTAAATAAAATGTTCTAAAATTTGGGTTCCTTCAAATTCCAAATAGGTTCTGTTAATATGGATGGACAATTTCATAATCACTGAGATTGCTTTTAAAAAGTATCCAGTAAATGCTACCATTTCATAAGAAGTAGAAGCAGAAAATCAACTAAATGGAGTGTTAAAAAAAAGTGGCCATTGTTTTCAGAATATTACACTATAAATGAGGAAGAAAGTAATGAACAAAATCACTAATTTTTTTTTAAAGAATATTACATCATAAGTTCAGAGAGGAGAGATTTAAGGACAACTCAGAAAGTATAGTATTGACTTAGGGATTGAGGAAGCACCAAATGTTAGAGATTTATTCGATCGAGAAATGAATATTTTTTTGTTAGTATATGAACAGAAGACGTTAATTATAAAAGATATCTAAACTTTTAAAACTTGCAATATATGGACCTAAACTATTTATCTACCACTCATCGTTGTCTTCTCTCTCCTCTACTTTAATCCATGACCTTACACTTTCTTTTTTTTCCTCTTTATTTTCTCTCTTCTCCAATAATCACTGACTTTTCTTCCATTACCTAGTCTCTGAAACTACTGCTTTCGATTAGGATATATAGGCTATAGCAAGAAGAAAGAGAATAATGGAACCATCAGGGTCGCTTAGAACTTCAACGTTTTGGCAATATTGTATAGTAGTAGTTTAGCTTGGGTCATAATTTTGAGAATCAGAGAGAAAAAGAAAGAAAACATGTATTGCACTAAATTAGTTGCCAATCACATTTATAAGAAACAAAATCAGTAGTTATCTGAGATTAGGTAAGAAATTTGGATACTCAACTTTGTTGATCAATATTTTACTGAACGAACAGCCTTCAAAAAGGATTTGATTCGAATAAGATCCTTCTGAATCCCATCTGATCCACAAATTCCACTGCTAACATCAACCCCTTGAGGCTTCAGAATGGATAGGGCTTGAGACACGTTTTCTGGATTGATCCCTCCAGCCAAGAGCCAACCATGTTTGCTTCTAATTATTGGTACCTCAAACTGGGCCCAATTGAATCCCTTCCCACTGCATTCAACAGAAAAATAATTAAGTTGGCTCATATCACATGCAGGAAGAAAAATTTAATGGCTGCTGCCACTTTAGTCAAAATTCCACGTTCTGTCAATTAATTTGACGGGTTTGGAATTGATTTCTAGCTAATATAATGACACACACGTAGAATTAAATAATTTCAGCAGCTGATGTGATTAGTTTGTGGAAATAAAAGTCTCAATCCTGTTTATTTTGGTCTCGGTCATTCATAGCTTATTTTGTTTGGCTTTTGTATCTTCAGATGTCATAATTTAGCTCAGTCTCAAACTTGTGCAGAAAATTCGTGTAAACTAAAAATATAGCTCAATTGATTAAGACATAGCTCAACTGAACGGCCAAAGGTTTACATTATCACCTCACACGTTATTGAAATCGAAAGAAAGAACAGAAACTTAATAAATGAACCTGTTTCTTTGAGGGGGAAGTGTGATGTACCTGCCACCTTTGGCACTGTCAACAAGAACCCAATCGACCAAAGAAAAGTCCTCAGTTGAGATCTCATTGCGAAGACTTCCATCTTCATTTGCATTCAAAACATAAATAATTCTATAGTCTTTGGCTAGAAGTGGCAATGCTGCCCGCGAACTGTCTCCATGAAGCTGTGAGAAACCAAATCATTTTAAGTAAGAAAGTTATTTTTGTGCACAAGGAGGTGAGACCAACAAAAAGATGTACCTGCACAAGTTCAAGCTCACATGTATCAGCGGCCAGTGATATTGTTTCAACATCATCATCAACAAACACTCCAACAGGCTGTGCACCATTTTGTCTAGCGATTCTGGATATCTCCTTGGCAACTGAGAGTGAAACAGAACGCTTTGAGTTTGGCCAAATAATCATCCCAATGAAATCAGCACCAGCTTCTGCTGCCAAAGCTGCATCTTTCGCCGATGCAATACCGCACATCTTAACAAGAACCTTGTCCTTTCTATGATGTTCAAGGCTCGAAGATACATTCTCTAACTCAGAATTGCTACAAGCAATCCTTTTCTTTTGGCAGGGCCAGTTTACCCCAGTTTATGAACTCTCCCTATTCAAACCTACAAAGAAAGAAAGCTGTGATCGATTCTTCCACATCCATAAAACAATGTTGAGAAGACCGACTAAAAGGCAGAACAGTGGCTCAGATATGAGTGTACGTTATCAAATTGAGCTTATCTTAACTGTGACGTTCAGACATTAAGTTACTGAAAGATAAATGGAGCAAAACATACCACGAAATTGGTGCCTTCTATGCACATTTACGACTTTTTGGCCGAAAGCAGCTTCCACTAGCTAAGCCTGGCAACGTAGAAAGAGATTATGATATCAGGGGTTTACACTACAAGGAATAGAAAATTGTTTATGGGATAATGGTGGGAAATTCCACAATCAAAGATTCAAATTGTTCACTTTCGAAAAACAATTAACATAGCTGAAACAAAAAGAAAGAAAACACCACCAAGCATGCTTTTGTTTATCTGGGAAAATTATTTGGGCAATTCGTCGAACAGTTAGTAGGCATTGCAGGTGAATGAAGGGGAAAATCTCAATGGGCCTCGAACAAAGTTGTATAACTATACCTGCAATCATTTTCTGCCCCCTTTTCTTCAGGTTCTTATTTCTGATCACAATTTGCTTGAGATGAAGTTGAATTCCACAATTGAAGAGCAATGCAGATGAGGAACAAAGTTTATTCAGAATTCTTGACCTGATTTTCCGATTGAACTATCCTCAATGGGTAAACCGAAAAACAAAATTGGCAATTGAATTTTCAACAATCCTCGTTAAAATTAATGAGTTGGATTCTTGATGAAGTGAAAAAAATTACCTGATTTTAAGCCGAAGCCATTTTGCAGCTATTCTCGTGTTCTTGGTCAGATGACGCCTCATTTCAAATTGCTCACATTTATATATTTTCGATTAATCATCTTTAATTTTATTCCAAGCTTGATTTTTATTGACATCATTAAGTTCTTTTTATTATTATTTTAAATATAGTACAAAAATTTGAGCCAACCGAAAAAAATAACACGTTAATTATTAATTATCGATGAATTATAATCACGTTTAAATAAATATTATAAATAGAGTAAAAGTTGCAATATATAAAGAAGATTAGCCTAAACCCTTCGATTAATAGAGAAATAAAGGCTTAAAACAAAGCTAATTTATAATATATACTTAACTAACGCGGTTACAGATAATTAAGTATAAATTTTAAATGCAAGTTGTGAAAATGTCACTGAAAATAACTTAGGATTCGGTAAAATTTAAAGGTAAATATAATTCAGATAGCTACATTACTACCAATAATGTAGAATTTGCTTGGACGTGAAAAAATATTTTTATCGAGATATATGGATAAAAATAAGTAGGCATTAAAAAGAAAAAAAAAGTGATATAGACAACACTTTTTAAGTTTTGTTCCATTACAATACTTTTTTTTTCAGAAATGAATTATGAATAATACTTTTGACTATTAAAAGGGGAAAAAAAAGAGAAAAATGTCCCCTATTATGATTATTAAAAGCAATATGAATAGAATCCAATAGAATAAAATTATAAAAAGTTGAAGTGACTTGTAATAAATTAAGTTGAATTAAAGCATTTCCATAAGAATATTGAAAACACAAAAGTTATTTATTAGTTAAAATATAATTGTGACAACAAATTAATCTTTATAAGATTGAAAAATAGTAAAGAGCATGTAAAAATAAAATTAATGTAACATTTGGTGTATAGAAATTAATTATACTTTCTAAAATAAAATTAATTGTCATATCAATTTTCATCCTTTAATTTATTAATATATATATATATAGTTTTGGACCAATTTAATAGTTTTAAGGTTATTTTTGAGCTAAGGGCCAGAAAGTTAAAAAGAGTAAAGTTTGAAGAAAAAATATCTGGTTTTGTGAATGTGTTGGTACCCATTGAAAGATTTTGGAGTAGAAAAATGTGATGGGCGGCTATGAAAAGGAATAAATTAGGTTACGGAAGTGAAGAGGCAATGGGCCCTCCACCACCCATTTCAGACAACCTCAAAGCTGTCCCAATCCTAAGCAATATATTAATAATAACAGCCTACCTTGCTGTCACTCTTCTGGTTCTGTCTGTGCCTGCCTGGCTCTGCCTGCCCTCTTCCTTCCCCATCCCACCATTACATCTTCCCTCTATTTCCACTTCTCTTTTCTTTACTTCCGTTTTTCTAACCTGTGGGTCAATGATTCAGCCTCAACTCATATGGTTTCAAGTAGGAAGGTCGGGTTTTGGCTCCATCGAGAGAAGAGTTTCGACTATCTGTGTTTGCAACTTCAAACGAATCCAAAATCGATTGGGGAGGAGAACAAAGCAGGAGTAGAAACATCTCACGGGCGGACTTGTTTTAAAATTTTAGAAGAAAAGCTCAAAAGGAATGAACATCATGATTCGTATGAGCCCCAAAATGGAGAAAATAAATTAACAAATATAATATAATACAATGAAAAGAATACAAAGATATCTTATTCATCTGATTATCACATCAGATTGTTACTGATCTGTTTGAAGATCCATCGAGACCCCATTACTAGAATTGCCTCTACAACAATTCGCTCTTTACTACTACTACTACTACTACCTTTAAACTTTAGTTTCCGTAATCAAATATTGAATGAAATGTGAAGAACTT